AAGATAAATTATGCCTCGATTTTATTATTCCAAAAAAACAACCATAGACTAAAAATTAGAAAAAATAAATATGAAGGGCGTTGTTGTTTTTTTATACATCAGTCTCATTTTTGTAAAATTGAAAAGTATTATTTTTAAAATTATAAAACAGTGAAGTAGAATTACAATTCTTGTAATATAAATAAAATTTTCTGGTAACATTACATTGCACTGTGTAATTTTACAATGGAAATTGTAAAAATAAAAAAAAGCTTTTTAAATTTTTTATGAGATTATTGTAATATAAATTACAATATTTTTTTTATGATTTTACATACAATTATGCCGAATCAGATTACAAATAATGTTTGCAAAATTAAAAAGCTTTTTCTTGAAAATTGACGAACAGTTCTGTAATATTACAATGCGTGTTAGGTTTATACAAGAAGATTGTAAAATTACAATACATCTTAGTAGATTTCCTGACAGGTGTTGGAAAATTACATGAATTGTATTTTATTTAGCATTGCTATACACTGATTTGTAATTTTACATATCATTTGTTTTGTAATATGATTGTAATTTTACAAAAATTTTTAACAGTGATTTATTTCATGATATTTTTTTGACATTTTTACGAATTAAAAATTATAATTTTTTTTTTATCAATTCACAGGTACTGCTAATGTCAATGAAGCTTTAAAGTTGGCTGAAATAAAATTGGTTTTAAATAACGCTGCTCATGGTTCTTTGAAAAATATAGATCATTTATGTGAAATGTTAAAAGATATTGGCAAAGGTAGTCAACTGTCAAAACTACGATTACATCGAACTAAATGTTCGAAAATTATTCTTAACGTTATTGCTCCCGGTATGCTAAAAGAACTACTTGATGACTTGGGCGAAGAAAGTTATTCGATACTGCTTGACGAATCCACAGATGTATCGACAATGAAATACATGGCCTACTGTATTAGATATTATAGTAAAAAGCAAAAAAAGATTGTTACCGACTTTTTGGGTTTCAATGAAGTTAACGAGGCAACAGCGGAAAAGTTATTTTCTGACTTCGAGAAATTTATGAACGGTCTTGGTTTAAATATTAATAAGGGAACCTGGGGCACGAAGGCCCCCCAGGGCACGACGGCCCCCCTCAAAAATTAGGTAAAAATTTTTTTTTTTCAATTTCCGTCAAGTTATGACTTCTATAATGTTTTTATGATATTTTGGGCCAATATGTAATATGTGGGGCATAATGGACCACTCGAAAAAAAAATTGTAACGAAAAATAATTTTTTTTTTTTTAATTGTGATAAATTTGTGGTAAAATGAATTAGAAAAAATTTAATTGAACTAAAAAATTTTACAAAAAATTGAATCATGCAGGAGAGAGTGGTACACGACGGTCCCCGGCATAACGGCCCCTCTCATAAATTAGGTAAAATTTTTTTTTCCATTTTCCGTCAAGTTATGACCTCTATGAGGTTTTTATGATATTTCGGGCTAATATGTGATACGTGGGGCATAATGGATCATTCGAAAAAAAATGACAAATTTGAAGAATTCATTATTTTAGACCTTTTCAGGTCAATGAAACAGAATGAATTTAATTAAACTGAAAAATTTAATGAAAAGTTGAATTATATAGCTTATAAAAAATTGAAAACACAGTTCTTTAAAATTAAAACGGTAATAATTATATTATTAACTATTAATTACAGTATCCTCTGCACCAGACAGAAACATAATCTCAAAAATTTATTTGAATTCCTCCAAGGATGTCTTACTTTACGCAATTCATATTTCTAATTTTGACTTGATAAAAATATAAAAAAAAAGGTCTGGTTCAAGATATTACGTATTTTGAAAGCTCTATTTGAAAACTCAACCTGTGATTTCAATCAATGTAAACTAATGTAACCAATTCATTGCTCAATAACATTTCTATATTTTTTCTTGTACGTAGGTTTAAAGCCTCCGATTGCAATAAAAGAAATTAATTATATTTTTAATTATTATCTATTTAAAACTAATTAACAATAATAACAGCTTAACAATGAAATTTGTAATAAGTTTTTAAGACGTTAACAAAAATTAAACTTTGAATAAAACATGAAATATAAATGTTCGATGAGATTAGGAAATCACATCGAGATAATTTAATGAACATACGATTATTCGTAATGATCACAGACATATTCGTCAGAATAATCTTCGCCAATACCTGCGCAAGAACCATAAGATCATTTGTTAAAATTTTTACATTGAATCCATGACTCTGAGGACTCTGAGGAAAGTCCATAGCAATAAAGACAATGGCAATAATCATTTTTATATTTTAAAGGTTTTTTTTATCAAATTTTTTGGTTTTGATTTTGTTTCATTTTTTTCATCATTATAAGAGATATTCCGATCCTGACATTGAATTAAATTAATGTGTTGTAATCCGAGGATTAAGGATCATGAAATAAGTTAATACTAGATTTTTATTTTACGCAACGTTTCGGAGTTTATTACTCCTTCCTCAGGCGTCTGTGGAAACATACAAAATTTATACAATTAATTATTAAATACAGAACAACACCTCAAAATCTCTTAACAAACTCAATATCACATACCATAAAAGATTTATGTATTAACTTCGCCAACAAACAATAAATGTTGCTCTGTCATTTCCATCGTATTTTGTTTAATTGAGGTCTTTTTTTTGCTTCATGTTGATTTTTTTTTCTGTGAGTTCTCGGCGATACTCAAGACTTGTAAGAATCGTGGTTTTCCCTCGACAACGTTTTCTGGGAGGAAAATCTCTAGATTTTGATGGTAATAGCTTAAGTAAAAAAAAATTTTTTTTTCGATTTTTTGCAAAATGTCGACTGATTCGTTCGAAATAGATGGAAAATAAATGAATTTGATGGTTAAAAGTCACAAAATAAAAAAATTTGCTTAAGGGTGCCGTCGTGCCCCAGGCTCCCCTAATTTAGTAGGTCTTGGTACTGATGGTGCCAGTAATCTTTGTGGTGTCAATCACAGTCTATACGTACTATTAAAAAAAAAATATCCCCAAGTACAGCTACTCAAATGTAGCTGTCACTCTTTAAATTTAGTCGCAGCTAAAGCATCAGAACAGTTACCATCTAATATAGAGTTCCTCTTCAAAATTCAAGGAATTGGTTTGCGCATAGTTCATTACGCTTAAATACTTATCATGATTTATATGCAAAGATGAATGCTGGAAAGAAGCCTTCAAAGCTTGTCCAATTAGCACCAACTCGTTGGCTAGCTTTAGCTGGAGCTGTAACATCTAATTTGAAGCAATGGGAGGAGTTAAAACATTACTTCAATTCAATTAAAGACTCGTCGTCTGAAAAATCATACACAGCTAAAAGTTTAGCAGAAATGTACAATGATGATAGAAATCGGCTGTATCTTATATTTTTGAACCAAATATTGCGTGAAATAACCACAATGAACTTGGCATTTCAAGCCGCTGACGCTGATCTAACTAAATTGTATTCAGATTTACGCTGTTTATTATTATCGTTAGCCAGGCGTATATTTCAACCTAGTTTTCTTCGTCCATTGGTATCGGATACTTCTGATGCTACGATGCTTCATGAAGCAGATATTAAAGCAGTACAAAATGTATTGTTAAAATCTAAGCAGGCAATAGGTAATTCATTATTACCTATCAACTGTGTCGACTTTGGTTCTTCATTTGCGGCTTTTGCTGAAAAGAAAACTATTTCTGATGTTCATCTACACGAAGTCAAAGTGCGATCATTAAACTTTATTATAGTATTATGTGAACAACTAGTACAAAGATTACCAACAAATCTTGTTGTGATTGATAAGCTAAGATATTTTGCTCCTAAAAATTGTTTAAGCTTGTCATCAGCTAATATAATGGATAATTTACCCTGGGATTTGGCGGTTGCAATGTTGATAAAGAAGCTATTGAAAGACAGTGGCGTCTATTGAATACTTTAAGATTCCATGACATAAATGAAAAGTTTGACGATAATGTCAAGCCAATTGACTTTTGGATCGCTGTGCTAGATATGAGAAATAGTCAAGGTGAACGAAGTTTTGAAGATTTAGCATCATTTGCTCTTCGAGCATTGTCTTTACCAATCAGCAATGCTGATGTTGAGCGAGCTTTCAGTATTATGAGCATTGTAAAGAGTAAAACTCGAAATCGTTTGTTGCTACCAATGCTTACAGCGCTAATGCGAATTCGCATACATATGAAAGTAATGAAAATTTGCTGTACAAATTACTCACCTCCGGAACACATGCTAAAACTATTTAATAGTAAAATGTATGAAGTATCTGCTAAGAATACTGTTGAACCTAATACAGTTGAAACTGCTGACATTTTAGTGGAATCTATTGATTTAATCACAGATGCTGGTGATGGTGAAGATAACATTTATTGTCAAATTTGATTCGACTGGGTTCTTCGAATATTGTATATGGGTTAACCATAGGTACTTTTTTCTTTCAAAAATTCAAAGCAATACATGTAATAACATGGCTGTGTCGACAGTATATTTAATATATGAAATTTTGTATCTATTATTTATCAGTACTTTAATCTAAACTAACGTTACTACTTTGCTCAATTAATGAAATATTTAATATTGATTAACTATAAAAGTGTTGTTTATTTTTAAACTTTTTTAAATAAAAGAAATACATTAAAATGTTGTTATTATTTAAATAATATTTATTTTTGTTGATCGTTTATATAATAATAATAATAATAATAATAATAATAATAATAATAATAACTCTATTTCAAAAGCAAAATCTATGAATAAATAAATATATTTAAATCCTAAATTGTTATTAAAAATTGACATTTAAAATTATTATTAATATATTTAAATTTTAAATAAAAAAAAAACAAATTTATGTACACGTATATTTCATTTAAATATTGGTGCTTACTTGAAGTACTACTAGCGCCACATTACGGTCATAAGAAACACTGCGCCGTAACTTGGCTACTTCGGAAAAAAAATATCTGGCTACCCTGATCTGATCATGCCTGTTCATGTATGATCAGACCTGAAATTAGATATGATCATGCCTGTTCATGTCTGAAGCGTTAAATACGCTCAGGCCTGATCATATCTGTTCATGTCTGAAGCGTTAAATACGCTCAGGCCTGATCAGACCTGGGTGTATATTATGCTTGAATTAATAAATATGTTTAGGCCTGATAAGACCTGTTTATGCATGATTAGCCTTCTTAAATGTTATTTTCAGTCTGGAGAGAAAATTTTATCGAACTATAGACTGCAGTTCTATTTTGAAAATTAATTTGTTCCGTATGACGTATCAGTTTCTATCCCCTTATAAATTTTAAATGTACAACTTTCATAAAAAATTTCAGCTTAAGCATAAACTTTTTGATTTTCCATGCCAAAACGATGATTTTTAAACAATTATTTATCGAATAATCATTTGAACTGAAGAACTTCTTTCAATGATTTTACTTTCAAGCGCACAAAAAAAATATTTATATATAGTTATATAATACAATTTCTCAAATTCTTTCGTAAAATGTTTTATTTGATATACTAATATTTTTTCTGCGCACATAATTCATTTTTCTTCAAAAAAGTTGAGTTCAGTTTTTCTGTCCCAGCAACCATTCACAGTAAAAAATTTTGCGTCATTTCGTCAAAAAAAATTTAGTGTCATGACTGCTTAGTTCTGATTATGCTTGGTCATGCATGATCTGTCATGAATATTTCCCGGAAGAAAATGATCAGACCTTACCATGCCTGTTCGAGTATGATCAGGCCTGAAATTAGATTTGATCGTGCCTGTTCATGTCTGAAGCGTTAAATACGCTCAGGCCTGATCATACCTGTCCATGTCTGTTCATGACTGTTCATGTCTGAAGTGTTAAATACGCTCAGGCCTGATCAGACCTGGGTGTATATTATGCTTGAATTAATAAATATGTTTAGGCCTGATAAGACCTGTTTATGCATGATTAGCCTTCTTAAATGTTATTTTCAGTCTGGAGAGAAAATTTTATCGAACTATAGACTGCAGTTCTATTTTGAAAATTAATTTGTTCCGTATGACGTATCAGTTTTTATCCCCTTATAAATTTTAAATGTACAACTTTCATAAAAAATTTCAGCTTAAGCATAAACTTTTTGATTTTCCATGCCAAAACGATGATTTTTAAACAATTATTTATCAAATAATCATTTGAACTGAAGAACTTCTTTCAATGATTTTACTTTCAAGCGCACAAAAAAAATATTTATATAGTTATATAATACAATTTCTCAAATTCTTTTGTAAAATGTTTTATTTGATATACTGATATTTTTTCTTCGCACATAATTCATTTTTCTTCAAAAAAGTTGAGTTCAGTTTTTCTGTCCCAGCAACCATTCACAGTATAAAATTTTGCGTCATTTCGTCAAAAAAATTTAGTGTTAAAAATTTTTATGTTAAATATTTAACACCTTTTTGTGTTGATTCAATAGAATTGACACAAATAAGTGTTAAATTAACACATAATAATGTAAAATTTCAACATACAAATTTTTTAACACCTTATTAAACAAAATGATTTCACAATGTTAAATGCCCATAAGAGATATGATTTGAAATGATTTATATGATTTGACAGGATTAAAAAATTAATCATTTTTAATCATATCAAATCATTTTGTTTAATCATTGCAATGACGCAAAATTTTTAATGTGTTCCATTGAATACATGAAAAACAAAATTATCTTGTAAAATTTTGATAGCGTGCAAATACCAAAATATACCAGTTGATATCGATAGGCGATAAGTCCTTTCAAGATGTTTGTTATCAAGCTACACGCCTTGGTCCATTGCGGTAGTATCAAATGCTGCTAAATTGTAGAACACACAAACAATTCTATCGATTGTTTCACACAAAGTTTCCTATCGATTTTAAATAAAAAAAACTTCAAAATTAAAAGAAGAAAATAAAATTACAATTACGGAATTAAACTTGAAGAAATTTTTTTTTTCTGTACTTAGAACGATATGTTAATGGAGCGAAAAAAATACACAGCCGTCCCAAATAAATTATTATTAAATAATTATTAATATTTAATAAATTAGGTATAGAACTCCGTTAACTATAAGTTATGTATAAAATTTAAATTACTTAACCCTCAGGGTACGGACTATAAAAAAGTTACGTTCAGTACGGACATATTAACTTTGTACAAATCGCGTTTGAAAGGTAAAAAGTAGTTCTTTCAAATGTCCATAACGGTTTTTTGATTTATTCCAAAAACTATATTTTTTTTGAAAAATGAAAATACGCGTTTTTTCGAGTTAGCGAAAAAACGTTGTTTCGTTGATTTATGATGATAAAGGTTAAAAATAATTACTTTGAGCGTAAAAAAATTGTTTCTCAGATATTGTTGAGTAGTATCATGTAAATAAATACCAAAAATAATTGTTAAAGACGAATATTTATTATCAAAAGGTTACAAAAGTCATATTACATAGTATTGCTGCACTCGCAGCACAGTTTCGCTACGTGCTCTTTACACATCGCCTTATGACATCTAAGACACTTATAATACGTTTTTCGGTCAAGGGAACTTGGACATAAGTTACATCTCTTTTGCTTTGAAAGTCTATTGTCGACAAACTCATCGCGAATGTCCATTTCTTCTGGCAACTCACGAGAAACCAAAAACTCTTCAATCGTATTTCGCAGACCTATCCTCAGAGTAGGTGTTGCCAATCTTTTAATCAAAGTAGGTTTAACTAATTGAATTGAATTGAATTGAATTTATTGATTTATGCCAAAGCCTTCACTGGCCAGATGGCAATAGAAAAATATACATTTTGTGAATACAATACATTTTTAAATTTTTTGATTTAAACATAGTAATTATAACTTATATATAATTATACATAATAAGATATTAGAAGAAGTAATATTGCTTATATACTAATATTGAAGAAACAATTTAAGTGAAAATGAAAACTAATAGATTACAATATTTATGATTATGATTTTAAAGATTTTAATTTTAATAATTTTAGTGATTTAATAGTTTTACTGTATTTAATAGTTTTACTGTATTTAATAATTTTAAAAATTTTAAAGATTTAACTGAAAATTTAATTTAGATTTAGATGTCTAGATTAAAAAGGTAATCATAAAGCTTATTTTTAAAAATTTCTATACTGGGAGCATTTATCACATCGTTTGGTAATTCTTCCCAAAGACGAATGCAAGTAACTACAAATGATAATTCATAGATAGTTGTAGTAAATTTAGGTAACTTGAAATTTACATAATTCTTTTTTGCTGCTAGTCTTACAGAATGTCTAGTATCAATATCTTCAATAAATAGTTCTCGTAAGTAGCTAGGTTTGCTTATACTCAACGGTTTATAAAAATAACATGCTAAGTAGTACATTCGGCGAGTTTTTACTGATAGCCATCCAAGCTCTCGTCTATATGGTGAAATATGTTCATCCTTTTTCAAATTATAAATAAAACGAATCGCTGTATTTAATGAGCGTTGTAATTTACAATTCTCATCAGCAGTACAACTAGTTAATACTATAGAACAATAATCGATAAGCGGTAATATAGTTGCTGAGACTAATAACCTCCTAATGTCTTTAGTATAGATGTTTTTTCTTATTTTTAAACTATATAACGCTGAATTAATTTTATTTACAGTCTTTGACACATGCAAACTCCAAGATAAATTATTTAAAACATGAAGGACCTAAACACTTAGTTGACTCTACGTAAGGAAGTGCAAATCCGTCAATGACAATTTGTGGAATACCATTTGCTTGTAACTTTTTTAGCCTAGAACTTGAGCCAAGAATCATTGTTTTAGTTTTGGATAGATTCAATTGCAAGCCATTCTCTCTTGTCCAATCAGCAACAGCCTGAGCATCTATCGTAATTTGTCTAATAGCGTCTTGAAGTTGATAGTCGTAGAAATGAAGGTAAATGAATTGATCATCCGCAAACAGACCATAATTTGTATAAATTAATCGCTTAGCTACCGAGTTCATTACTATTAGAAATAACATCGGTCCAAGAACTGAGCCTTGTGGGACTCGAGAGATAGTTTCTAGGAATTTTTCGGGTAACCCCATTTCATTTACAACTGATTGGGTTCGATTGGTCAAGTACGAGAAAAACCAAGAAATGGTCTCACTCGAAAAACCGAGTTCAACTAGTGTAATCAGAATTACTCTTGGGTTAACATAATCAAAAGCTTTAGTTAGATCAAATAGGACAATAATAGTTAGCTTGTTTTCATCCATAGAACGCCTAATATCATCTATAAGTTTTAGTAAGGCTGATTGAGTGCTATGATGTTTCCTAAACCTTGATTGATATTTATCAAGCAGCTCATTATCTTCTAAGTAGCTTATTACCTGATTTGCAATGATTCTCTCAAAGATCTTGCTCAGATGAGATGTATTAGCTATTGGGCGCGTATCTGATAATGATTTTGGGGGAGTTACTTTATTGATGGGTATTATAAATATTGCTTTCCATGTATGAGGGAAAACTCCAGTGTCTAATGACCGATTAAAAAGTGCTGTAAGAAAGATTGTAATTTGAGGTACGTGATTTTTTAACCATCTCAGATCAAGTCCATCTGGACTATTCTCTTTAGATTTTTGAAGAATCAAGTGTAGAGCTTTAGTCACATCAACTATATCTATTTCAGTCCAAGTAAATGAAGAATTTACTTTACTTTTATGTAATTGGAAAAGTGAATTTACAAATTGTTGGTCGCATGCTGGATGTCGACGTACCATGGCTGCAAAATGTTCGTTTAAGTCAGACGGTTCAAAATGATTTAGAGGAAAAGATGTAGTACGTTTTACAAGGCCTAGGTGTTTTAGCTTACTCTAAATTTGAGTTCCGTAAGATAGATTGGACAGCGAGTTTTTTAAATAGTTTTCACGAGCACGACTTATTTCGTGTTTCAGCTCTTTCCTCATTCTTTTAAAAAGTTGAAAAAGATCCGTATCGTTATGTCTTTTTGCTCTTTTATAAACCGCATCACGTTCTCTACATTTAATTTTTAATTCTTTAGTAAACCATGGATTAAGCGAACGATAGACTGTACGCGAGTATAATGGTGCAAACTCATCGAGGACATTTATAACATTGGTTAGAAAAATATCAAGTAGAGAATTTGGATCGAGCTCATTCAGAGAGTCTCTTCCTATATTTAATGACAGCATAAGAGAGTTTGATAACGCAGTGTAATTTAAGTCAGAGAATCTCCGGTATGTAAGTATTTTTTTTGTTTTGCTTAGGAATCTCGAGCAAATATTCACAATACAAAAAATCATGACCGTTGATAAATGGTTGATTCGATTTATAAAATGACCCAAGTTTACTTTTATTATCTAATAATACTACCAACCAAGATATCCAACCAAGAATCTTTATTCCTAATATGATGAGTTGAGTTATAAGGTACGCAATGAATTGATAGTTCTGAGATAAATGTTTTTAGGTGATTGGAGGTATAAGTTGAATCTAATAGGTCACAGTTTAGGTCACCTGTAATAATGAAATTTTTGCAATTTGTAGTTAATTTTGAATGGATATCAAAGAAATTATTTAAAAGATTTCCTCCCGGTCTTCTATATATGACTGATAGTATAATATGAGAACCAGATGTTGAAGTTATATCAATAATCAAAAATTCAGGTTCATTAAGGTGATCCGAGGTAGATATGTGTAGTAATTTAGCTTTTAATGTTCTATGGATTAGACAAGCGACACCTCCGCCTTTTAGTAGTCGACCGGTGTCTGAGTGAGTAACGTTACGATCTCGTCTGAAAATTGTATAGTTATCTAGATTAAATAAAGAGTTGTTAATAATAGGCTTAAGCCATGTTTCTGTTAATGCAACAATATGAGGTTGAATCTCAGCAACTAAATTAGTGAGTTGATTAATATTGCTATTTACACTATTTATATTTAAACTTAATAATTTAATAAACTTAGAATTACAGCTGTTAGTTCCAGTTAAATCAGAAAAATGTTAATCAAGCTTACTTAGCTCTGTTTCAGAACTAATTTTAATTTTATTCGAATTATCATTTTGCTTAACAAAAATAGATCCATCTTGCACCCAAACATATTTAAAATTTGAATTTTTAGCTTTAAGTTTCGTACTAATTAATAATTTATGCCTCTCTGGGTGTAAAAATTCATTTAAATAAATGTTACCTTTAAAGGAGTTATTTACTAGAGTCGGAAAAACATTTTTTACAGTTAATATTTTATGTTTTCTTTTTATGTAAATAATGTGATCACGAACTTGGGGTGATATCATTTTAAGAATGTAAGTGTGCAAAACCGGTCTAGATTTAGTGACATTAGTGACATTATTAATATTACGATTTCTAGTAATACTATCAACATTAGTCGATTTCTTCTCCATTTTCCTAATTGAGAGTATATTAGGAATTAATTCTGATATATTTAATTCTTTAAATACACTTGAAGCAATATCCATTGGTGTAGATCCTGTTGAGACTGAATCTGGGATACCGGAAATTACTAATTCAGACGAAGACGAAGATGTTGAAGTTTTACTTTGTAAAACACCCGCCAGAGTTTTGGCCATTTCAGTTGATTCTGTCTTTAGGGCTTCAAGTTCCATGTTGACATCATTTATTTTTTGTGAATTTGTGATTATACTGCTACTCAAATCAGCTAATCTTTCTTTAGCCTTGGTTTGTTCATTTTGAAGGCTGTCTATACGCTTCCCAAGATTATCTATTTTAGCAGACATGGTTTTTAAGCTACTATTTAAACTAGGGATCTGAGCTAATACTACTTTTTGAGAAGATAAAGATCGCATTACAGCTGTTAGCATTTCAGAGTTTGGCATAGTAGACCATCCCTCAGGTAGCGTGTCTTGAGATTCTGAATCAGCAATTGGGATTGAATTTGTAGTAGTTGACTCTTTCTCATTTTGATTGTCACTAGTCGTTGCAGTGCTCATAGTTGCAGGTGAAAAAATAGTATCACGAGTCGGTGATAATAGAAACGTTGGAGTAATTGGTGATGGATAACCTGATTGTGACTTTTCGTTGGTTAATTTGATAGATGAATTTGATGAAGACTTCGCTGATTTAAAACTTGATGTTGAAGAGTTTTGGGACTTTACTGATCTCAATGAATTCAGACGATTATTTGAATTCTGAGTTTTTAAGTCAAGAGTTTTCAGAAGATATGCAAACTGAGTTCTACAACAATCAGTTGGGGGCCGACTTTTTATATAGTCCCTAGCACAACTTTGATGAAATGATTTAACACAACTTTCACAGGTGAATGCAGTCTTTACGACAGCTTTACATCTGTAGCAAGTTTCAGCGGACACTGACATAACACTTTTACACTTTCATAACAATCTATCTATGATATCTGTTGAGGCCAACGTCACAATGACAATTAGAAAACAGAGAAATTTTATCAACTGTCAAATTATAAGTATTACTTGTCTTGTGAGTGACTTCAATGTTTACAGCTTTAAGTATAGGACAGGAGCTAGTACAATACACAGCACTATGACACAAGCTTCACTATACCCACACATAGAATATTTGTGGTGTAAAGTACAAGTATACTGCTTGGTCAACACCAACACAGTTAAAATAATATGACGTCTGGAGAAAACTGCACGTAACTGATGCGCCTGACACAACAAAACTTAACCTTAACTATTTTTCTTATTTATTTACATTTTATTTATACCTATTTACGCAATTAGAGATTAAGGAGTTATGTGATTTTATATATCACTGTGTAAGGCAATTATTGCTCTACAATACTTAATTTCGCTTGTTTTTATTCGATTTAAAGAACTTTATTATTTACGGAAATTAGAGAGCATAATAAAAGTGACACTACCACGTATTGTACTCACACATACAATTGCAACGCCAGCTCTCGAAGATAATCGAGTCGTTTCAGAGGTGCATTGAATTGATTAAGATTGTATAAAATAAAAGAATTAACGCCAGCCTGATCGAGCATTCCATAAAAAGATCTAACAGGCCATCTACTTGTCTTGCGAGCTGTCGTGTATTGATGACATTTAAAATCATAACAATTGGTGCCGCCTTTGGTCTTGTTGTAGAATTCAATCATTTCCGGTTTTCCACTTCGCTCATCTATTTTACCTGTTTGATGTATCGACGATAAAACTAATACAATTTTTTTTTTCTTAGGATTGTATGACAGCAAGGTTTTTTTTTCTAAGTAACAGAATCTAATATTCGGAGTATTTTTGGATAATTTTTTGAATTGATCAGGAATCTCTCGTTTATTTTTTTTTATTGTACCTATCAAAGATAAATTGTGCTCTTTTTTCATCACTTCTACAAGGGACAAAGAGGTAAACCAATTATCGCAAGTTATATTACGTCCGGTGTTGTACAATGGCTCGCTCAATTTGCGCACGTAATACGTAGGAATCGGTTTGCCTTCTAATCTATCAGTAACAGTTCCGCAGTAAGGGATCGCATTGATCATATAGTGAGTGCTTGCATCATTCAAAGAAATGATTTTTAAACCATACTTGTCTGGTTTAGAGGGGATGTACATTTTAAAAGAGCATCGACCTCGAAAAGAAAGCAACTGCTCGTCAATAGTGGTATTTGTGCCGGGCTCGTAGTTGTCCATACAATTTTTAATAAATATTTCCCAGATCTCTCGTATGTGTGTGAATCGATCTGTTGCTTTCCTTTCGGCTCGAGTATCTTTATCATCGAATCGCAAACTTTGAAGAATAAATGTAAATCGATTTCTAGACATTGTCGCTTTGAATAAAGGCATAGAATGGATTCCCCACCAATTAATAGTTTTGCACTTGTTCAACTTATGCACTCCGGTATAGTACAATAAACCAAACGTAGCTTTCAATTCTACTTTATCAATTACTTTATGTACTGACGTATCTAATCTAACGTTATTTTGTCTCATCACAGTTATTTCCCTTTCAACTTGCTCGTTTGTATATTTGACGATGATATCTAAAATTTCATCGGTAAATAACATGCTCCAAGCTTCGAGCGGTGTTTTAACACTTGTCGCATTACCTTTAGTTGATGGCGCGTAAGATTGTTGTGACTGTGATCGAGGGCCCCTCGATTCCGGAGCAGAGAGATTCCATTTGTGCCCGCTCTTAGCATGCGGGTATGAAGGGCGGCCGCGTTTGCGCGGCGGGGCTCCTCTCGGAGCAGCTGCTTCTTCTTCGCCTGACAGTGGCTCTCCTTCAGATTCTGTCTCTTCTTTGGCGTCTGTTTCAGAATCGTGGGAACTTTCCTCTTCCGCATCTACGGCGTCGTCGGTATCACTGTCGCTCTCTATAACGCTGTCTTCCTCGTTTTCATTGTACAACTTCTCCAAAGCAGCAACGCTTCGAGTGGTTCGACGCGTTGCCATGTTTTTAATGCGTGTTCTGTAATAAAAAATTACAAGAAACAAAATTTAATGAGTTATAATTCACTACGAGCAGCAAAGATTTCGATATAAGACGTACGTTCAAGTGATTGAGATCTACTACAATACTTCGCTTACACCATGTACAACGCGTTATTTTGAGGTTAGAATCTACAAAATTAAGTGAAGAGTACGTATTCTTACTTACCTTTTTATTCCTCAGCGGCAAACAGACGAAAATTAACACTTTATATTTTAAAAAATTTTGGATTTTGTAACGTTGGATACGGACTGGGTGCACCACACCCGAGCATAATGTTCATATATGTCTAGCTCAAACACAAAGCGGAGACTGACTCTGCCGCTTGGGCCTCTAATAGTGTGTACCTATTAGTTTTTTCCTCCCCTGGTCCGGACCTCCAGCGCCGACTTCTCTTCGTATGGCGCGTCTTTCAAATTTCGCTCGGGTTACGGTAACCCAGTCCGTACCCTGAGGGTTAAAGTAGTTTGAAAGATGTTCCAAAGTCAAGAGGAGCCGTTGGGTCAGCAGGTAAAGGATGAGTCTAGAGAGCGAGACGTCTACGGTTCGAATCCCCCTCTAGGCACCAATTTTTTTTTTTATGGACCTGATTCAGTCAGACATGAACATACCTGTTCACGTCTGATCATACCTGCTCATGCCTGATCAGGCATGGTCATTTTTCCCGCGTTTGCCAGGCATGGAAAAGCATGATCATGACTGATTAGTTCTGATGATGCTTGGTCATGCATGATCATACAAGCTCATGTCTGGCAAATATACATGCATGATCATGCATGGCATTAACGCCTGATCGTACATGTTCATGCATGATGATTTTTTCCCGGGTATATCTAATTATGTATAGGCTTATATATAATTATACATGACCCCATGTATAATCATGTATAATTATATATAATTTCATATATGATTATATATAATTATATATGATTATATATAATTATATATGATTATATATATTCTCATATACATAATCATATATAATTAGACAAAAACTTTTTTCATCGGGTATTAATTAATATATCGAAATCTACCGTCCAATTCAATTATTCTATCAATAACTTTATTTTTGCCATGAGTCTCGTAGTTTATAAATGTAACTAATATTTCATAGTAACAAAAATAAGCTCTGATTAAACAAAAGAATTGAAAAATTTTAAAGTACTGAACTATTAATATTTCAAATTCTATCTCTTATGAAAGTTCAGTACATGAAGAATCATTTTTGGTCCTTTTGTTTTTCTAAGGAGTAAACAACGTCTTATATTGCATTTGAATATAAATGCTACACGGTTAGCTGATGCGAGCTATGGACGCCGCCATATTGGCCTTGGCTGTTCTGACGAGCGCCTAGGCGTTCACGTAATAATTATCCGTAACTCCTATTCTTTCCCGCTTCACAGCATTATTTATATTTGTTAAAAATGCTAACCGTAAGATGGACGGTGTGGCTTAATGTATATAGAATAAGTGAAAGGAAATTTAGTATAGACCGGGTAGCTCAAATGGTAGAGTAGCCGACATGTCTTCGGAAGGTTCTGGGTTCGAATCCCAGTCCGAGCTATCTAATAATTTTTTTCTCGCATATTCTATAAACTCACATTAAGATGATCCTCTCCACAATCCTTTCTCAATCCTTTCCTACCAATTATCCTGTTACGTGAAATGTTGGAACGCTTCACGTAATAATTATCCGTAACTCCTAGTCTTTCCCGCTTTACAGCATTATTTATATTTGTTAAAAAAAGCTAATAAAGCTTTCACTTTATCCCTACTCCGCGGCCGATCGTCACGCGACATGCAACACACAGACGAAAAAGTTTGAGACGATGTAATAAAAATTTCACTTTAAAAACGACTCAACTTGACAAATATATAGGTATACATTTTGCATAGGTTGAATCGTTTTGAATCTTTTTTTTTTATAACGGTAACCAGTCGAGCTCTAATCTTTCCGTGTGTCTTTCTCATGTGCTTTTTTTTGCGGCTATGGACCGACTTATGCTTTTCTGTACCGTATTCGCCCTATTCCTTACCTTTTCTTAAGCTCCTGGGACAGTGACATAGGAAAACCACAGAGAAAACCCATATCAGTACAGTCAGAGCAGAACTAAATTTTTGGTAATCGATAAGAACTTCTTTATTGATTATCGTAATGTTAGTTTCCTCTCTGAATGGTGATCTACGCGCTGGTAAGGGTTGACTATAAACTTTTGAGGCTCGTCTCAATCTACCGCGTAGAACAAATTCAAATTTACATAAAATCTAATGACAATAGAATCCTTTCAAACCCTGTAAGCCGCGTTTTGATTGGTCAAACTGTTAAAATGTTGTAAAAAATTTACACACACACACACACAGTGAAACCGCTCTAGAAATAGTCAGAACTGCTTCCCAGGACCTCAAAACGTTGATATCTGATGATGAGAATTCGACTTTCGAAAATAGTGATGAAACCGAAAAATTTCCAATTATTGAATATAATTGATTTTTGTAGTGGGAAGTTGAAGTACTTATATTGTAAAATAATAACAAATTCATATAACGTATTAGGTACTGTATCATTTAATATTACAGTAAGTATCTCATGACAAATTAATAATCAAAATAAAACAGATCCATACAAATAATTATATTTTATATCATAAAACTCGTTCATAAAATAGAAGATAAGCTTGTTTCTTAAGAACGGTTGCTTCATCAATTTGTGATACCCTGAAAGAAGAAAATGTGTTAAAAATTGACAAAATTTTATTCTTGATGAGGTATTCGATACAAACAAATTTCAAATAAATATGCAATCAATTATAACATATGAATTAAATATTATAAAAAATAACCTTATTAAATAATTTATCATTGATACACGGAAAGAAAATTAAAATAAAAATTACAATAGTAACATCGTAATCTAGGTCTAGTCTTTCAAAAGTTTGGAAAATCCAAACGTGCACGCTTCATAACGCTCATTCAATTTTTAACTTGTTTTCAACAAATTTTAACGTAGTATACCGTAAATTTTATTTGGACTTCGGTAAATTTCATTTATTCCACCGTTAAATAGATGAATTTGTTCGTAATTTTAATTTCAAAAATGGTAATAAATAAAAAGGCCGCATTTTGTCCCATGATCAATGAACTTAACGGTTATTTTTAAAGAAAATTTCTTTCCTTGTGGTCAGAATTAAAAAAAAAAAGAAGAATATTTTTTTAATAAACTAAAATGTAAAAAAGTATTAACAAAAAAATGTTTTTTCACAATATTACAATGTGAATGTGTAATGATTGGGCTGTTTTTTTAAATATGTTCGTACGAGTCCAATTTATGTTTTTATAAACAAAAACATTTCAAGGCTTGCTCGGAAAATTCAAAAATCGGGGAAAAACTAAATTTTCTCTTTTTACGGGATTTTTCTACGAATCAATGATTATGATTTAGAATTTGGAGAATAGATATCCGTTATTTATTTTCTGTTTCGTTCGCTTTCTCTTTAGGAATATTATCCAAAAAACAAAAGCAACTTTTGTTCATGAAAAAAAAGTGGAAAATTCTGAAAAATTTCTTACTTTTTGTATGCACTTTTGATTATTCTAAATGCTAGAAACGATAAATCCAATCTATTGATTTTTGAAAATATTTTCAAAATAAATAATAACTAAAACAAAAATGAATTACTGATATCTATTATTCAAATTCTTAGTCATGATCATTAATTTATAAAAAAATCCCTTAAAAAGAAGACCAAGTTTTTCCAGAATTTTTTTATTTTGTTGCTCACACTGCTAGAAAGGTCTATGCTACTCTAAAAAACTTGAAACACAGGAAAAGCATACTATTTTCCTCTACAACAAAACTTTTATCGATGCTACTATCATTTCTATTATTGAATACTGCTTGCTAGTCATGGTTGATTCATCTAAAAGATTGGACTATAAATTATAACGCCTAATGAACAATGCAATCAGGTTCATTTTCAATTGAAAACGTGATGAGCATATTACACCATATAAACGCTCCCTAAACTGGCTGACAATCAGATCCAAAAGGTCATATTGTCTTGCCTATTTCTTTTGTAAGCTCATAAATTCTGGTGAACCAAAGTTTTTGAGAGATCTTTTTGTTGAAGAATCTCCTGATATCAGACAATCTGATAGACCTTTTTATTTTTTTTTACTCCTAGATACAATTTCAGAAGCTTTTTTGCTATTTCATGGAACGGTCACATACACATTTTGTGAAATTTTGATAAGACAACGTCTGTCAGGTTCAGCTAGTTTTTGATAAATATTGATTTAGCAACGTTGTGCGCACTGCCATCTCGATTAGTGTAACGTAAAGGGCGATAATTTGGTATTTGTAACACCAAGAACGGGTTCTATATAAGCTATGAACAAGATGATTTCGAAGAAATTTAACTTTGGTGACGTCTATATCAAGATGGAGCAAAAAAAATATTTGAAAAGCGGTTGACCTTGTGGCCATCCATCCTTGGAACTTCTGCCAATATTCGAGCTCAAAACGCTTTAAAAATTTTCAACAAACTTTTGAGCTTTTTAAGTTTAAAAAAGACCATTCGGCAGCCGAAATGGAAGTAGATTTCATCATGAATAGGAAAAAAATATAACGAGGATTGTATACACTGATAGAAAAACAATCTTGATTCAAGAAACTTTTTTTCTTCAAAACTTGAACTCTTGAAACTAGATATAGATATATTTCTTTCAAGAATTTTTGTCTCTTGGTTCAAGATAGGCGATAACATTGATTCAAGATGTTACCGACTTGTGTTAAGAATGGCCTTTTTTTTGAGTAATTAATTAATTCACTTATTTCCAAGAAATAATTTTTATTTGGTATAACAATTAAAGACTATTTAGTTTTTGAAATATACTTTGATGAATTATTTAGAGTTTTTTAAACGATAATGTTATTTTGATTGAAAAACTTAAATGTATCGAT